GGAGGCGGGGACAAGCATGGGCTGGTTTTGGGATGCAGTAGGGGGAGGGGAGATTTTTGAAGCTTGTGAAGTCCACATTGATACCATTTGGGCTGCAGAGTTCCCAAGCGGCATATGAGTTGCTGTTCCTGCAACCTTCGGGTAGCATCGTTGTGGCACTGCAGGAGGCCCAGGATGGACATGTCGTCTGAGGAATGGGAGGGAGAGTTGAAATGGTTCGCAACTGGGAGGTGCAGTTGTTCAATGCAAACCGAGCGTAGGTGTCCCACAAAGCGGTCCCCAAGCCTCTGCTTGGTTTCCCCGATGTAGAGGAGGCCACAACGGGAACAGCGGATGTGCAAGTGAACATCTACTTGATGTGGAAAGTCTTCCTGGGGGTGAGGGAGGTGTAGGGGCAGGTGTAGCACTTCCTGCGGTTACAGGGAAAAATGCCAGGTATGGTGGGGCTGGAGGGGAGTGTGGAGCGGACAAGGGAGTCACTGAGAGAGTGGTCCCTCCGGAAAGCAGATCCTTATCTGGTGGGGAGGGAAAAAATCCTTGGTAGTGGGGTCCGATTGCAGATGGCGGAAGTGTCGGAGGATGATGCATTGGATCCGGAGGTTGGTGGGGTGGTACGTGAGGACGAGGGGGATTCTGCTTTGGTTGTTATTGCGGGGAGGGGGTGTGAGGGATGAGTTGCGGGATACACGATCGAGGGCGTTCTCGACCACTGAGGGGAAGTTGCGGTCCTTGAAAAACGAGGACATCTGAGATGTACGGGAATGGAATGCCTCATCCTGGGAGCAGACGTGGCGGAGGCGAAGGAATTGGGAATAGGAGATGGCATTTTTGCGGGAAGGTGGGTGGGAGGAGGTGTATTCTAGGTAGGTGTGGGAGTCGGTGGGCTTGAAATGGATATCGGTTTCTAGGTGGTTGCCAGAGATGGAGACAGAGGTCCAGGAAGGAGAGAGAGAGGTATTAGAGATGGTCCAGGTGAACTTAAGGTTGAGGTGGAAGGTGTTGAAGTGGATGAACTGTTCAAGTTCCTCATGGGAGCACGAGGCGGCGCCGATACAGTCATCAATGTAACGGAGGAAGAAGTGGGGTTTGGGGCCAGTGTAGGTACGGAAGAGGGATTGTTCCACGTAACCTACAAAGAGGCAGGCATAGCTTGGGCCCATGCGGGTACCCATGGCCACCCCCTTTGTCTGTAGGAAGTGGGAGGAATTGAAAGTGAACACCTACGCTCGGTTCGCACTAAACAACTGCACCTCCCAGTCGCGAACCATTTCAACTCCCCCCTCCCTTTCCTCAGATGACATGTCTATCCTGGGCCTCCTGCAGTGCCACAACGGTGCTACCCGAAGGTTGCAGGAACAGCAACTCCTATTCCGCTTGGGAACCCTGCAGCCCAATGGTATCAATGTGGACTTCACAAGCTTCAAAATCTCCCTTCCCCTTACCGCATCCCAAAACCAGCCCAGCTCGTCCCCACCTCCCTAACCTGTCCTTCCTCCCACCTCAAGCCCCACCCCCATCTCCTACCTACTAACCTCATCCTGCCCCCTTGACCTGTCCGTCCTCCCTGGACTGACCTATCTCCTCCCTACCTCCCCACCTACACTCACCTTTACTGGCTCCATCCCCGCCTCTTTGACATGTCTGTCTCCTCTCCACCTATTTTCTCCTCCTCTATCCATCTTCTATCTGCCTCCCCCTCTCTCCCTATTTATTTCAGAACCCCCTTCCCCTCCCCCATTTCTGAAGAAGGATCTAGGCCCGAAACGTCAGCCTTCCTGCTCCTCTGATGCTGCTGGGCCTGCTGTGTTCATCCAGATTCTCGAGCATCTGCACTTCCTACTATCTCTGCTTCTCCTCTTGTCTGTTTATACTATTATGTTGTTTTCTCTTTTTTAAGATGCTTATTAAATCATTCAATTCAAGCAAAGTTTTAGGGTGTTTGTTCTAATGTGTCAAGTGTCAGACTTATAACGCTGCTGCAAAGCACTTTTGACATTTTATGATAACGGCACTACATGAATACATATTGATGTTTATTGCGAGTAAAATGATAATTGAATTAAGTTACATCCTGTCCATAACGTGCAAGAGATTTATCTGCAATTTTCCACATTGTTAGGTGGATATGGTCTTAAAGCTACACTGTAATATACTGTATGCTGTACTGTTCTTGTGACACTAGTTCTAATGCTTTGACAAGGCAAGGACGAATTGGCACCCTTCTTTCTTTTTAACCCCTTCTCGGTCAGCCTAAACAAATTTCTATTTCCTTTTTAGCTTTGATTAAAGCAAACTTTCAATAAAAATGAAGAAGGCAAATATCAAAATATTCTTGTGTGAAAGAAGAATTTTATTACTGAATTAAAATATACATCCTGTGGTGCAGTGGTAATGTTCCTGCCCTTAGGCCAGGAAACCCGGGTTCAAGTCCTACCTGTTCCAGAGGTGTGTAGTAACATCTTTGAGCAGGTTGATTAGGAAAATAAGTTAAAGTTTAAAAAAAAATACACGTACAAACACAAGGAACAAAAGTGTGAGGTGATTCATTTTGGAAGGTCAAACTTGAAAGCAGAATACAGGGTTAACAGAAAGATTCTTGGCAGTGTGGAGGAGCAGAGGGATCTTGGGGTTCATGTCCACCGTTCCCTGAAAGCTGCTACCCAGGTGGATAGAGTTGTTAAGGCGTATGGTGTGTTAGCTTTCATTAATAGACGGATTGAGTTCAAGAACCGTGAGGTTATGCTCCAGCTGTACAGAACCCTAGTTTGGCCACATCTGGAATATTGTGTCCAGTTCTGGTCGCCTCATTACAAGAAAGATGTGGAAGCGTTGGAAAAGGTGCAGATGAGATTTACCAGGATGTTGCCTGAAATGGAGGGAAGGCCTTACGAGGAAAGGTTGAGAGAGCTAGCATTCTTCTCTTTAGAACGACAAAGGATGAGAGGTGGCTTGATAGAGGTGTACAAAATGATCAGAGGTATAGATAGAGTGGACAGCCAGAGACTTTTTTCCTAGGGTGGAGGTAGTTATTACAAGGGGGGCATAGTTTTAAAGTGAGTGGAGGTAGATATAGGGGAGACGTCAGAAGTAGGTTCTTTACTCAGAGAGTGGTAGGGGCATGGAATGCACTGCTGGAGCGGGTAGTGGAGTCGGCCTCAAGGGACCTTTAAGCAGCTAGTAGATAGGCATGTGGATGACCGTATAAGGTAGGGGTGGAGATTAGATAGACCTTTAGGCTTAGGGTAAAAGTTCAGCACAGCATCGTGGGCCAAAGGGCCTGTACTGTGCTGTACTGTTCTATGTTCTAACAAGGTTTTTAAAAAAATGTGTAGTTCAGCCTTCTTAATGATGAAATAAGGCTACATTGTTTAGAATTGTTTGTGTTTGAGGTGTTAGATTTTTAAATTTAAGGCTATACTTAATATGTTGTTGACTTGTATCCATAGCAGAATCTGCAGATGCATTTTTAGTTTTTGAATTGTTATTTTTCCCAATTTCCTTTTCGCCAGGAGCTGCTTTATAAACAAACAAGGAACTAGAGTAGGCCGTCCATCCCTTAGGACTGCTGCCTCATGTAATAAGACCTGAGTGGAATCTCGAAACCATTTTCCCACCTATCCCTGATAATCTTTCAGCCCCTTGGTTACCAAGATTTTATCCACCTCTGCACTAAAAATATTCAAACACTTTCTTCCTGAAAATGCAGTGCAAGTAGAGTTCCAAGGTGAGTTCTGTGAAAACAGTTTCACCTAATGTCAGTTTTAAACGGTGACCCCTAGTTCTAGATTCTCCCAAGAAATCAACATTACCCTACCAAGACTTCTCAGTATCTGGTAGAATTTAGTCTTAGACTTCTAAACTCTAGTGAATACAAATCTAACTTGCCCAATCTTTCCTCATAAGACAACTTGCCCATTCCAGGTAATAGTCTGGTAAACCTGCTTTTAAACTGCTTCCCAACACATTTACATTCTTAAATAAGGTAAGCAATAACGTACAGGATAGTTGACATGTGGTCTTGCTAGTGTCTTGCATAAATTCCTTACTTTTGTAATAGAAACAGGAATTGCTGGAGAAACTCAGTCAGTCAGGCAGCATCTTTGGAGAGAAAAGAGTTAATGTTTCAAGTCCAGTGACCCTTGTTTAGAACCTTCTACTGCTTCTCCCACAATTTCCGTTTGTTTCAGAATTCCAGCACCCACACTTCTTTTGTATTATTCTCCCTATTTTTATACTTGATTCCCCTTGCTTTCTGAGATGATAAGAGAAACAGGCAGGGAGAATAAGTTCTAGCTCTTATCACAAATTTGTGTTTTATTCTCTCTGATCTGCTGCTCAAAAGCAGCTGATGAAATATTGTTCACTGTGTTGTTCAGAGTGTATCTTCGTTGTCTTTCCAAACCAGTTAATTGGCAAACAGGCCAATTCATCTCCACTTGTACGAAAGTATCATGCTCATGTGAATTAAACTATTGTTGTGAATTTCTTGTTGCTGACTCGGTTGCCTAATTTTGATGTTTGCCTTTAGATAAAAATAATAATTTCAGTGTGGATGGCTTCATTTATTCCACAGTGGATCTTCCGAAGCTTGCTTTATCTGTGGTTAGGTAACCACTCCAACTGCTTTAGGTGTATGATTCTTCAAATTTAAAAGCTATTTTAATCCATGAAAGATTTTCAGTGTAATAATCAGATGAAGGAAGTTAAAATTCAATAGTCCGTATTTATCACCACTGTAACACACACTCCAACCATGCAGGGGCAGTACTCCGATTTGAATGCATTGAATAAATCAAAGGTCAGAAGTGGAATGTTCACTACAATTGTAGTATACAGTCCAATTTGCAAATTGTCAGATATTAAAACAGTCTTTTCATGCATCCAGCAAAATCTAGACCACCTTCAGGTTTGGGCTGATAAGTGACAAATAATAATTGTGCCACTTAAAAGACGGGCAATGATTGTCTTGAATGAGAAAATCTAAGCATCTCTTCTCGATGTTTAACAGTATTAGCATATCTGAATACACAACTGTCAACATCGTGTGACGATTGACCAGAAGCTCAACTGGTCCAGTCATTCAAATTCACTTAATCCAAGAGGAGGTCAGAGACTGAGGATTCCATGGCAAGTAACATCTCCCGACTCCCTATCTCCAAGGAACATGTCAAATGTGATAGAAGACTATCCATCTGCTCAGATGAGTGCCAATTTAATAACTCTTGAGACTTTTTTTAACACACATTTCAGGACAAAGCATTCTGCCTGATCAGCACACTATAAACCACATTAAAGCATTTCTACCACCAGTGTTCCAGGATAGCAGTGAGTCCCATGTACAAGGTGCATGACAGCAACTTGCCAAATCTCCTTTGACAGCACCATCTGAGCCCACAATCTATACCAGTACAAGAATAGCAAATGCATGGAAAAACATCCTGACTTAGGATTGTAGCTTATTTTTTCACTGTGGCTGGTCAAAATCCTACATGATTCCCATCGTTTTCTGAGAGACCTTAGAAATGAGCAATCTGTGCCAACCTGCTGCAATGCTCAAACCCACGAATTAATTAAAGCACTTGATGCTTTATTTCTGATCTTTGTCTTCTGTACTTGTAAGCGCTTTAAGAGCATATGTAAAGCTGGTGTGTCTTGCCATTAGGGTTTTTCTGTATGAATAGCTTTTGAGGCCTTTAAAGAGTCAATTGCGCTTTGTCCAATAGGTTTCCTTTTTCAATCGCGTCCAATCCGCCTTGAACTTCTTTGTATGTACAGTTTGTAATTCGTACATGCATGTGTGCGGTGGGGTATTGTACGCTGTTTCTTTGGTTAGTGTTTAACCTTAATCGATAAACAAAATAGTAATTTGATCCTTGTGTTGAATATGTCAGATATTGGGGAGCACCAAGATCCATCACATTTAACTAAAAGCAGACTGAAGAGTGAATTAATTGCTCATGACGTGCGTTTACCACAGAGGGAGCAGAAGAAAGAGGTTTATGTGCAGCTCTATTTAAAACACATTACTTCTAAGAATAAGTCAGAATTAAGAGCGGATTTTTCCACCGACGAGGAGGATTCTTCAGAAGTTAAAAGCACCGTGAGTTTAGGGGACTAGATGTGTTTTTTTTTAATATTTGTGTGATGATGATTGTCAGTACTCCAAGCGTTTAGCTGCGCGCCGACTTGCGAGATTTGAATTCCTTTTGTTTGGTGGGAGTCGGGCTCGCCATTGGTATAGCTTAAAATGGGCTGCATATGAGTACAGTTTCTTGTTTGAAGGAAATTTGTTACAAACTTCTCTCAATTGCATTTGGATTTGCAGTTCTTTCGATGTATAAATTTATTGTGCACCTCTACATTTGTATTTCGTGAATCATTTAAGGAATCACATTGAATTCGATTCAGGGTTTTCAGGTATCTTTGATTTTACAGTATAAACCTATACAATGACAAATTAATCTTTAAATACGTTTTTCGTTTGGAAGTTGAGAGCAAGGATCCTACATACGCTCACGTACAGTCTAGTAGGTTTTTTGTTAAAAGTAGTAACCAACTAAGGGGAGAAGTTCCAAACTGGTAGCAAAGCTTTTTCATATTTAAGCTACAAAATGGCCGTTTCTACACTTCGTGTATGAAGAGCGCTACAAAACAAACTTTTTTTTTCCGAGTTGCTGCAACGCACTTTCGGTATGATGCATTGTACGTTTTAAATAGCAAGTACCACTTCGCACTAACAATCTTGAGTTTATTTGTTGGACTGGGGTGGGTGGAGGGAGGGGTGCGGGGTATAAATTGCCGGCAAATATTTTCAATGAATGATAACTTCTCCAGTTCAACCTCGGCTACATTTGTTTCAAACAACGCCATTAATTTCACTTCCCTACACACTGATTTTCATATCCCTCCTTGACCTAGCGTTCACTCAATCTGAATCAGACTGTTTGCAACATTTTTTATCCTGTTTGACTCTGGGATGATTAAGTTTTGTTCACTGCTAGGCTTTTGCAACCTTCTCCCCATTAAACAGTTTAACAAGCCTTTGACAAATTCCAATTTCGATAATTTCTCATTCACTTCCTCCATCAATTCTACCTTGTGTAAAACTAGATCTTCTATTGTCCTTTTGACTAGGCCCTCATCCTTACTGAATAAAAAATAAAATTCTGCAGATGCTGGAAATCTGTAGTAGAACCAGAAAGTGCTAGAAAAACTCAGCAGGTCTGGCAGCATCTATGGAGAGTTTCTGTTTTTTTATTACTCATCCTGATTTGACCTTCATTGGATGTTGTCTTCCTGTCTTTCCTTTGTGATTTCATTTCTAGCTCAGTGTCCAATTCCTTATGCGCATGAGGAACTACGAATGAATAAAATAGACACCCGTGAAGGATAACAGACACAAACTCCAGATTTTCAAAAAAAAGTAATTCAGGGCTGAAATGTGGTTCTTTTAAAATTTTTCTGCGTTGTTGTTTTGTGATCAGCTGAATGGCCTCTATTTTTTAAATTATGAAGTGCATACAGATAAACGGTAGAATGTAGCATTTTACAGTCTTTCAGAACTGTCCATTTATTCTAGCATTTGCTCTCCCTCTGAATTAATGCTTTGACAGTGTGAAGGGTCTGTTTCCATGCCACAGGACTGTTTGCTACAATCGGGTCAGTTGGCTAAATGTCTGGTTTGCGGTGTAGTGTTGCCAATTGCATATGTTCAATTCTCACACTGGCTGACGTTACCATGAAGAATTTTCCTTCTCAACCTCTCTCCCCTGCATCGAGCCATAGTGACGCTACCATCACCAGTTGTCTCTGACTCCAACGAGAGAGTAGTTCTATGGTGCAGTAAGACTATGGTAACTTTACACTCACTACCACTTTGCATTTTGTTCCGTTTCATCTTTGCCTTCTACTATATCCCAGAATATCCCTTTCCCTGCTCCCATCCTCAGTGGCCACCTGATGTAGAACCCATCATATTTCTACCTGAAGAAGAGCTATTTTCAACTTGCCTACCATTAGAACTTGTGCTCTCCTCACAGATACTCAACAGATCTGGTGGCATTGCCTGCACTTTATTTTTATTTCATATTTCTAGCTTTGCTGTATTTTGCTTTCAATTTAATATGAAGGATAGAGAATTTGCCTATGCATGTACAAATTTAAAAGGGACTTTCTGTATATTTCTTGGTCACTGTTCATTTTTTTTAATCTTTGTTTTTATCTTTTTCATTTCTTTTTTATTTCATTTCTCTGTCTGACTCTTCTTTCAATATTTTTTGGGGAAAAGAATAAAGATTGCAATTACTGGCTCGAATTGGCTAACTCAGCACAGACTTGGAATTCAATCTGCTACTAATGAACCATATGGCTCAGCCACATGCTGCATTTGTCATCTGTGCTTTTAGGGAAGACCTGTCAGATATTTATAATCCACTGCTTCGCCTGCATTTGCAAAGGTTCAAGTAGAGGTTTGATTGTTTTGGCATTTCTTTTTAACCAATTTAGAAATGTAACTTTTTTACTGGAATTTCATAGATGAGCAAGTCACTTTTTGAGTCAAATCACCCCTGCTTAGTTTCTAGCCTGTGTTGAATTAAATGGTCTTATTTCTCAATTGCTAAATTGTGAGCACTGTTTGAAATACGCATGTGCTATCACGGAGTTAATACAGGATCAAATTGCACTGTGATGCCTGCCATGGTTTAGTGATTGTCAGCACTTCTGCTTAAATTCACACACAACTACTGATCACTTGAGGGAGGGATTCCAGGGCCAGTATAAATGCATTCTAGCAAGGAAGAAACACCTGAAAGACAAGCAACAAAGAACAGGACCTTGTCTTTGAATTGTATTGAAGCAATTGCCTGTACTTTCCATGAAATCCTGAAATGGTGCAGATCAGCAAGAGGCCATTCAGGCCATTGAATCTAGCTGTACTGGCTTTTTCAAAGAGCAGTCTGGATAATCACTCCACACGATATCAATAAACAGTTGGAGCCGTTGGATACGGCAAAGCCTATGGGCCCTGACAACATTCCAATAATAGTACTGAAGACCTGTGCTCCAGAACTTGCTACTCCCTTAGCCAAGCTGTTTCAGTATAGTTACAACACTGGCATCTATCCGACAATGTGGAAATTGCCCAGGTATGTTCTGTACGTAAAAACCAGGACAAATCCAACCCAGCCAATTACCATCCCATCAGTCTACTCTCGATCAGTAAAGTGATGGAAGGTATTCATCAAAGGTGCTATCAAGCAGCACTTGCTCAGCACTAACCTGCTCACTGATGTCCAGTTTGGGTTCTGCCAGGGCCACTCAGCTCCTGACCTCATTACAGCCTTTGCTGAAACATGGAGAGAAGAGCTGAATCCCAGAGTTGAGGTGTGAGTGATAACCCTTGACACCAAGGCTGTGTTTGACCAAGTGTGGCATCAAGGAGCCCTAGCAAAACTGGAATCAATAGGTGTTAGGGGAAAACTCTGCTGGTTGGAATTATACCTGGCACAAAGAAAGATGGTCATGTTTGTTGGAGGTTAGATATCTTCAGCTTCTTCTTCGATGACCATCCCTCCATCATAAGGTCAGAAGTGGAGATGTGCATCAATAATAGTGCAATGTTCAATGCCATTTGTAACACCTCAGCAATTGAAGCAGCTCGTGTTCAAATGTACAAGATCTGGACAATATCTAGGCTTGGGCTGATAAGTGGCAAATAACCCTTGTGCCACCCAAAGGCTGGGTAATGACCATCTCCATTAAGAGACAACCTGATCATTGCCCCTTGACTTTCATTGATGTTACCATTATTGAATACCTCAATACCAGCATCCTTGGGGTTGCCATTGACCAGAAACTCAACCGGACTCGCCACATAAGTACAGTGGAGACTAGGAATACTACGGTGAATAGTTTGCCTCTTGACTCCTATAAGTCTGTCCACCATCTGCAATGCACAAGTCAGAAGTGTAATGGAATACTCCCCACTTGCCTAGATGAGTGTAGTCCCAACAACACTCAAGAAGCTTGACACTATCCAGGACACAGCCAACTTGATTGACACCACATCCACAAATATCCATTCCCTCCACCACCGACGCTCAGTACTATCTAAAAGATGCACTGCAGGAAATCAGCAAAGATCTTTAGACAGTGTCTTCAAAACCCATGACCATTTCCATCTAGGACAGCGCATCAGATATGAGAACAACACCAACTGCAAACCACTCGCCATCCTGCCTTACTAACACGTCTCCGTTCCTTCAGTGTTGCTGGGGTAAAATCCTAGAATCCTCCAACCCCATCCCACCTAGGGTGTTGTAGATCAACCTTCAGCTTGTGGACTGCAGAGGTTCAAGAAGGCAGATCACCACCACTTTCTCAAGGGCAACTAAGGATCGGAAATAAATGCTGGCCAGTGAATTTTTCTAAAAAATCCACTCTTATAAAATAAAGAAGGATCACTGGACTCAATGTTAACTCTGCTTTTCTCTCCAAAGATGCTGACATGCTGGCTTTTTTCCAGCCCTTTTTTTTTTTAATTATTGTTTTAATCCCACTTTTCGCCTGATGTGTTTTTTTTTCTTTTTCCTATTCATCCTACAGGTATTTATCCATTTGCTTTCGAGACATACTATTGAATCTTCGGACAACACATTCCAACTACCAACCATTCTTCACTGTAAAGTAGCAGAATATTTTGACAAGGAATACTCAAAATGATTAGTGTCATTTACAACAGTAATAGATCTCACTTGATTTTCTTTTGTTTTAATTGTGATTAACTGCAAGTGCATACTAAAGGCTAGATTTGCAGCAGCTTGAAAGAAATCTCACTGTATTTGCTTAACATCAACCATACTAGTTGCACTGAATTTTCTTTCTAAGCAGGGACCCAGGTTGTAAATTGGAGGTGTTGAAAATGGCTCACCATGGTTCATTTTCAACTCCATTCATAAACAGGAGCATCAAGGAACCCTTTGAAAATTGATTCAATGGGATTTGGGGTGAAGGGAGTTGAGTTACATCTAGCACAAAAAAGTTGGTTTTGGTTGTTGGAGGTAAATCATCCCAGTCCCAGAGAATACTGCAGGAAATAAAACAAAGAACTGGGATGCTGGAGATCTGAAACCAAAACAGGAATTGCTGCGAAACTGAGCAGATCTAGCAGAATCTGGGGAAGAAAACAGTTAAAGTTTTTGAATCCGTGAATCATCATCAGAACTGTTAGCAGCTAGGAAATAGTGCTGTTTATGCTGAAGACAAGGTTGGAATGGGGGAGTGGAAAGGTGAGAGGATACGTGGAGATGGAGCCCAGGGGGAGATAATGAAAGGAGTAAATAATGAAAAAGATCATGGAGAGCAGGCCAGGATGGAAGAAAAGCTGGATAACTGATAATAATGGCCAGGCTCCAGACAGATCTTTCAGTCTAGTCTACCATACAGTGTTTGCTGTTCAGTGTGGTCTCCTCTATATCGTAGACTGGGTGATCACATTGCAAAACACCTCCATTTTTGTCTGTAAAAATGACCCCGAGCTTCCAGTTGCCTGCCACTTCAATACACCGGTAGGTTCCCACGTCAACATTTTCATTGCATATCACTTTATGTCGGTTGCTTTCAGTACAGCTCACCCATTCTCTCATACTCTTGTCACTTATTCAGCTTTTCTTCCGTCCTGGCATGCTATCCATAATCTCCGTGCCTGCCTACCGCTTTCATATCTTTCTCTCTCTGGGCTCCATTTCCATCTATCCGCTCACCTCTTCCAACCCACAACCCCCAAAAAAATCCTTCTCTTAAGCATAACTCCCACATTGTTCCTAGCTGTTAACAGCTCTGATGAAGAGTTACCAGGCTTGAAGTGTTAACTCTGCTCTCTTCTCACAAATGTTTCCCAACCTCCTGAGTTTCATCAGCAAATTTTGCTTTTGTTTCATTCCAGGAAGTCTTTGGGTTTCAGGTGATTCAGAGAACATTTACTAATTTAATAGTTGGATTGAATGGGTTGCCTTATGAGGATCGGTTGGACAGGCTGGGCTTGTTTTTACTTCATCTTGGAAGACTAAGGGATGACTGAATTGATGTGTATAGGATTCAGAATGATCTTGACAAGGTGGATGCGGAAAGGGTGCTTCACCTTGCGGGTCAGTCCAGAACTAGGAAGCATTGTCTTTAAAGTTGCAGATATGGGGATCTATTTAGGACAGAGCTAAGGCGAATTTCTTTCTGGGAGTTGAGACTTTACAGCTCCACCTCCAGAAGGCAGTGGAAGTGGGGCCATTAAATATTTTTAAGACCAAGATAATTAGAATCTTAGAGAAGGGAATCAAAAGTTATCAGTGGTAGATGGAATGTGAAATTCAAAACAAACAGATCAGCTGTGATCATCTTCAATGGCTGAGCATGCTTGAAAGGTGGTATGTTCTATTTCTGCTCTTTTTTTTTTAAATTTATATACATAGGTTCCTTGGTCCAGCCATCTTTAGCTAGTTTGTCAGTGATCTTTCCTCTATTGTAAGGTCAGACATGGGTGTGCTGTCATCTGTGAACTGTGCTCATCATCTGTAACCATATGCATCAAGAGCTGAGAGTCTTGTGGCACTACCTGTAGACCAGGTGCCGAGGGTTCAAGTTTCATCTGTTCCAGAGGCATGTAATAACACAGCTGAATGGACTGATTATAAAATATACACCGAAAAATTTGGACACCTTTCAGGCATGGGCTGATAAATGGCAAACCCAACACATTTGCAAATCCTTTTAAAATGTATTGATGAGATGTGAATGTTGTTCGCCAGCATTTATTGCTGTTGCCTGGTTGCCTTTGAGAAGGTAGAGGTGAGCTGCCTTCTTGAACAGCTTGGCGGTCCATTTACTGTAGGTAGACCCATAATACCATTAGAGAAGGAGTTGCATGATTTTGACCCAGTAACATTGAAGGAACAGAAATATATTTCCGAGTTAGTGTAGTAAGTGGCTTGGAGGCGAATTTGCATGTGGTGTTACTCCTAGATGGAAGTGGCCATGGGTTTGGAATGTGCTGTCTAAGGAGCTTTGCTAAATTTCTGGAGTTCATATTGTAGATTATACTCATTGCAAATACTGAGCGTCAGTAGTGGATGCATTGCCAATCAAGGGGTTGGCTTTGTCCTGGATGGTGTCAAACTTCTTGAGTGTTATTGGAGCTGCAGTCATCAGGCAAATAGGGAATCTCTACTACACTCCTGATGTTTGCAGATGGTGGCCAGGGTTTGGGAGACAGGTGAGTTACTCACTGCAAGATTCCTCACCTCTGACCTGCTGTTCTAGCCAAGTATTTATGTAGCTAGTCCAATTCAGTTGCTGGTCAGTTATAATTATCTCAAAATGATCTGAGAATCTAGCTATTTACCTTGTCTTGGTATTCAATGGCATTGTTATTGCTGAATCCTTTACTTTCAACATCCTTGGTGTTACATTTGACCATTGAGCCATGTAAATACTGTTGTTAGAAAAGAAAGTCCGAGGCTGGGAAGTCTGTACCAAGTGACTACAGGGCCATCTGGAACAAAAGAGTCCACTTGATTGGCAATCCATCCACCACTGACACACAATGGCAGTAGTTTGTACTACCTAAGAGAGATACTGCAGCAACTCACCAAGGTTCCTTGTACTTCACCTTCTAAACCTGTGATCTCTATTTCCTAGGGAGATAAGGGCAGCAGATGCTTGTGAAGAACAATATCTGCAAGTTACCTCTGTGATTTGGCGGTATTGTCAATCCTTCACTGTCATTGGGTCAAAATCCTGGAATTCCCTTCCTAACAGCACTGTCTGTATACCCTCCAAGATATGGACTTCAGCAGTTCAAGGCGGGCAGCTGGAAACCACATTCTTAAGGACAATTGGGAATGGGCAATGAATGTAATGAAAAAATAAATACATTTTATTTTCAATGCTGAATATTATAGGAGTGAATTGTTTGTGACTAGAAATGTACTAACTGTTATGCCTCCATATATAAATTGTAATTCCCTGCGCAAAAGTTGCCTCATTGGATATATGATGAGGCCTGGAAAGTCCATGGCGTACTCCTTGTTATGGCTTTCAGAGTGAGGAAAATCTAGTAATTTTGCAATGAGTTTCCATATCTATAATAGTTTCACTCTGATGCCACAGAAAACCGGAGAGTCTATATAGATAATCAAAATATCATAGTAATAAATATAAGTATTATTACTAGCATAAGTTTGATAGACTAGTACCTGTGTTTTAAAAAGACTAAGAATATATAGAAAGTGCCAATCAGAAGATTATTAGTCAAGTAACAACCTAGCATTTTTTTTTTAAATGTCTTTATTTTTGCATGGAATATGGGTGTTGCTAAGAAGGCCAGCATTTGTTATCCATCTCTAATTGCTCTGGAACTGATTGTCATGCTAGGCCAGTTAACAATCCACCACATTGCTGAGGGCCTGGAGCCGCATGTAGGCCAGATTTCCTTCCCTAAAAGACATACCCAGAGGTTTCCTGCAATAATTTCATGGTCTCCATAAGTGAGAAGGGGTCTATATTTCGGATTTATTAATTGAATTCAAATTCAGCCAACTGCTGTGATGGGATCCAAACCCATTAGTCTGGGTCTCTGGATTATTAGTCTAGTGACACCATTATGCTGCCATATCCCTCTATTTTTATATTTTTGAAAATTATTTTGAGGAAGTTGCTAAACAAAAGTATCACAGCTATTTCCATGATAAATTAAACTTCCCCACAATTCATTACTACACTTGAATTTCTTCTAGTGTTTCTGTACAGAGACTTTTCCCTGGATCAGCCTGAGATGT